TCAGCAGGACAGGAGAAGGGACCCCAGCCAAATGATTCCAAGGGAACTTTGATCAAAAGCTTGGCATTTTTTCCTGTGGGTTCTTCCTGTGGAAAGAATTATTTCACCCTTTGTTTACCTGTCATACTGAGAGATTGCAAGACTTTGTTACAAGGTACTTCTTACAGTTGCATAGATATGATTTGGGAATGATGTAGGCAACATAGGTTATAGTTCTTAAGACATAATGAAGGAAGCTAATCGGAGTCTTCATCATCGAGGTATTCCTCTGCATTACTTAATGTGCGCATTATATCTGGAAAGAGACAGAATTCTATTTTAACCTGGGATAGAATTCAACATGTAAGAAAAAAAATAATTTGTCTACACAGCCACAAACACAACTAAGAAGCACTAACTAGGAGACTGGAGGGAACTTTCTAGGCTGTGTTTGGTCAGAAGACCCACAGATACTGGGCTTGAGGACCTGGAACAGGTCATATAACCAGATCTCCTATACATTAGAAAATGTTCGTGTCTAAATTAACATGTCATTTGCTTCCAGTACTCTTTCCTGCCACGGCAGGGGGTTGGACTTGATGATCTGCTCAGGTCCCTTCCGACCCTACCAACTATGAAACTATGAATTTTGCTTGCTATGGAAAAATCTGCTACACAGAGGGTGTCTCTACATGAGACACTTACTATGCAGTTGCCTAATTAACTGTGCAGTAAATGTCTCAGCATCTGCATGTGTGCCCCCCTTATGGTGCTAATAAACTAAACTAAACTAATAAACTCTGCAGCAGGGTAGTATTACTACCCTGCTCCAGAGTTTGCTTGTGCACAGCAGCACATGTGTAGATGCTGACCTAGCTTGCTGGGGCGCAAGGGTGTTTCAATGAGGGGGCTGCCTGCCAGCTAGCCCTGCAATGAAGCACCTTCATGCCCGAGCCAACCTCCCTGCAGCACACTGAGCTTGGTCAGAGCAGCCCTGGGCTGGCAAGGTGACCTTCCACCCCCTGCCAGCCAGGGCTGCTATGGCCCAGCATAATGTGCTGCAGTCTGGGCACATGTATGCCTGGCAGATCTAGAGCTCATTGCTGCATGTTAATAGATGCATGTTAGTAGATGTACCCAGAATCACTACAAGTGAGCTCTAGGAACCTGACAGCCTGAAAAGTATCCTGCACTAAGAGGCAGAAGTGAGTATCATTTTAACCTGAGCTGGTGACTACTTTTTCTTCCAGCTCACTCACTCCACAAACTCTACTCCAGTCTCCATCTTTTGCAAGTACCTTCTGCCTCTTCTCTTCCATGTCCTTTCCTCCACTTTAACTCTTAAAATGCTTTCTTGTTTTTTGTTAGACAATTGTAAGGTAATAGGTAGATCTCTAACACTGTTTATATATGCAGTACAACTAACTATGCCCTCCTACTCTTCTCTCATGGCCTGCTTCCTTCTCGTTAGTGCCATGATCCTTTCTGGGTAGTCAAGTATCTTCCTCTCCATAGCCTCCAGTTCACATAAGAAACTGTATTCTAATGAATTTTCAGTGATTCAAGAAAATGGAATTGTTCTGAAGAACCATGTCTGCTGGAGCTCTTGGCTCCAACTTTAACCTTGACCATACCATTTCCATCCCTGCTTAGCTAAAATGGCCCATATCATGCTTCCATAACTACCAATGTGCCAGTGTCACAGGGCACTAAGGTGCCTGCTACTTTAAGGGCAGAAACTGCCTAGAGAGAGGGCCCTAGCAGTCAGGCAGAAACCCCACAGGTGCAGGTTACTGTGGCAGCAGGCCTAAGGAGGGGAAGAGCCAGCACCTGCAGCCAGTCAGCTGACCGGAAGAGGTAGGGCCCTGGGCGCACAAACCCCAGGGCTGGGACTAGAGAGTCAGTTCCCTGCCAGCAGCCAAAGCGGAAGGAGCCTCCAGGGACGAATTGCCCAGAGATTCTGCAGCTACCTGATATGCTGCACTTAGGGCTAATGGGGATCCAGGAGCTCACCAGGTACCCTTGCCTATGGGGCACTTAGTGCTGGGGAAGAAGTTTGACTCTTTTAAAGGGACAGAGCACACCCTGAACTTTGTGTTATGTTCTAGCCAAAGGGCTCATATTTTTGGTTGCTGTCTTATAATACCGGTGAATTGGGCTGAGGCTATTGGGAAAGGAGGAGGCCTTACTGGGGGCCCACTACAGTGTGGGGCCCCCAGCACCAGTGTGGGCACAATGACAAAGGGGGTGAGCAGATCCCAGTGCCAGGGGGTGCCAAGAGAGAGACGGGGCTGCAGAGAGCCCCATGATGACCAGAGGCCAAACTGAACTAAGGCCTTGGAGAGACAACACGCAAATGCCATCTGCAAGGTTTGGGGTGTTTAAGTGGCCAGTGTGGAGCCACGCATCTAGCCCATAAGGCTGAGGGTGTCCCGAGAGGCATCCATTTTGGAGTGGGACACAAAAGGGGTCTGAGAACCCACAGGGTTCAATGGGGTCCATCAGAACTGTGTCCAAAATACAAACGTGAGGGCAGCCTCCCTACTAATTATAGTTACAACAAGACGTGACAGGTGAGAGAGAGAGGGTGCCCGTTGGTCAGGACTGGCATGGTCAAGGAGCCCTCTGGGTATCACAGCTATCCATGGGGACCCCATCCTGTCATAGATGGCCACAATGTTTTTAAGGGTACTTTCCTCTAATAAGAAAGATGTACCAAATGAGCAAAAAGTTAGACAAGATACCTGGTCCTTGTTTCTTTTTAAGCAGGGAAGCACTTGCAGCATTGGTAGCCATATCCAGAGCCAGTTTCTTCTCGTTGTTTCTTATATCTGTTCTTGCCCCTTTATAGAAAATAGTTTCCATTAAGTTAAGCACCATATTAGTAAATCCACTGATTAACAGTATACTGAAGTTTACTTATAAAACTAGGCTGGGCTTTACGGTTTTTCCTGGAACAGATCTGAAGATCACTGACTATTGGGCCCAGAGGCAGGGCTTGTGCAGCTCATTTGTTGATTGCTCCCCATCTCTCCCCTCCCACCTGCCTGGGAAGCATCTTAATGCTTTTACGGAAGGTTGAAATGATCTTGTCTGTGAAGTAGACTGACCTGTGCAACTTCTAAGCTTTGTGTGATTTTTGTTTTGTTTTGTTTTTTTGAAGTAAAGCTTTCTAAAGCTGATTTGGAACCACAATTAGATTACATAAAATTAACTTACAACATGTCTATTATAAACCCAATTGTTCAGTGTTAAAAAAGACACAGCTCTCCCATACAGAGTACTGAAATTTTAGTTAAATCTTTACCCTTTGCCAGTAGCATCTCTACAATATCTGCATAACCTTTCCAAGCAGCGGCATGTAGAGCTGTGTCTCCCAATTTGTTCTGTGAAGATAGAGGTTTGGGGGGAAAGCAAAAGAGTTTAAAACACAGCAAAAAAGCCCAGCCTGCTCTAGGAATTAAAGAGATAATTGTAAATTAAATGGATGGCATACAACTTCTTACCTGTTGGTTCAGTTCTACATTTGGTTGGGTAAATAAGACTTCCACAATATCTACATAAAAAGAACAATGTCAGATCAAAACTTCCTTTGAATTAAAAAACAGATATTAAAACCAAGACAGAATGGCGAAAAGATTCAAATAAAATTAATTGGAAAAAGTAAAATATTCTTTAAAGCCTGTAAAGATTGTATGGAGCAAGCACTACAAATATACCAAGGGTAAAAAAATATTAACATAAACAGGCTCAATGACTGTAGCAATGTTTCTTTGCTCTCCCTTCTCCAAATTCTCTTTTACTTCCTGTTTTTTGGCTGTCATACTGACATACTAAATGTCTGCTTTAACAGCAGATGGCTTTTATATGTATGTATTTTTTTAAACTACATTTAACCCCCCGTGAGTCTCCGATGGTTTCTGTTCTGCATGCATCTTCAGTTATGTATTTTCAGTTTCCCTTTTTCAATCAAAGTGGTTTGTTGGTTTAATGACCTAGTTACAGACAACTGAAAGAAATTGATTAGTTTATTTCTACTGTACCTTTGTGCCCACCATGACAAGCCCAGTACAGGGCTGTGTTTCCAGCTTTGTCTAAGCCATTAACCCCAACTCTGTTATCCAAGCACTCTCTCAACCAGCTCAAGTTGCCTGAAACCAACAGGAAAAATTGTTTTTAATGCTTATTTTTTATAAATGTACAAACAAATAACTGAACTAGTGGTATCTAGCTGTGCCTGAATGCTTTCAGAATTGGAACTTTTGTCTATTAGTAGAAGGTGGTGATAATAGTTATTGCTGCTGATTGTGAAACAACTTGTCCAAGTATCAAAATGTTTGTTCCTGTCCCCCTACCTTCCCTGCCCCCCACAAAAAAAAAAAAAAAAAACACTTTAAGCCTCAATAAACTTAAGATTCCAAACATATTTAACAAACCAAACTACAAAGCATAGATTCAATCTCACTTTGAAGTAAAAGGTCTTTTTTCTTTGACACTACAGTATTTATAAAATCTGTCTAAATGTGAGACATATTTAGTCTAAACTATGCCTACCTCTTTTGGCAGCTTCATGCAATGGGTTATCAATGGACTCAGCTTGCTCAGCCACTGAAATAAAATCATTTTAAAATTAAATTAAACTAAAGTAATTAAACAATCATGGAACTGTTGATTAATAATGTGGAGATTAGGGTATGGAAGGGGACTTCCTTTTTCTGAAAACCCAAGGTCAGCCTGACCTCTCTTGAAAGTGGGCTAAAGACTAGTGGGTAAGACCAAATCCAAAGATCACCATATTTACTTGAATACCAGACACATTTCCCAAAATTATCCTTCCAAAACTGGGGTGTTTGCCTTTAAGCAGGAGAGTTGATTTTTATGGCCACAATAGAAGCATGGAGGCACTGCATGATAGATGTTCCTTTTCTTCCTCTCTGTCTCGTCCCTCTTCCCACCTCCCAGCAGACACCTGGAGGGAGGTGCAGGGGCAAGTTTAGGGGGATAGTGGTGGGTTCATATCCCCACTTCGATTTCTGTTCCATCCAAAGTTTAAATAAACTGCCTGGCAGCAGCAGTGGCATTTCTATTTAGGAAATGTAGAGGGACTCGGCTGACTTCACGGCTTATTATAATCTACCTGATTCTTGCTAATCTCTCTCAATTCCACAGGTGTTAACAACCTTCTTTTTAATGGAATTGATGTTCCACTATCAAGATAGCCTTCCTTCCGCAATTTTGCTGTCTCTTAGCTATTCCTGGTCTCTCTCCTATTTCAGAGCCCTGCACAATGTTTTTACATCCAGTTAAAAAAATCAGCTCAGATGGGAAAACATCCTATCAGAAGCAGAAATAAATATCAGTGAAGTGTTGTATGCACTGTCAAGAGACTCAGGAAGGCTAGCTTTTGTTTTAAAAACCTTAATAAGAGGCTTACGTATAATGACCACAGGATTAATGAAATACTGTTTGATTTATTTTTTGTTTAGTTTGCTATGTTTTTTACATTTAAAATATAGCAAATTGATGCACGTTCTAATGGAGTTATATTTGGCTTTGCTTTGATCTTAAACTGATTAATATAGACCTAAACACCTAGTACATTAGCAAAGTTTGTAGTTTTTAACCAGAGGAAATGTGTCTTGTTATATATCTGATGGTGGATCACACCATCCGCACACCCCCTCTCTTTCAAAATCCTAGATCTGCGTATGAAATTCAGTCTTTAGTGGTAGTTAGTTTCAGCTTTTGATTCATCAGCCAAAAGCTGCTGACAATTCAGCTGTGAAAGGTTTCAAACCACAGCTTTTGCCTGAGGATAAAGGGGGAGTGCGACCGAGCTGAAGACTAGGTTCTGTCCCTGCTCAGTATGGTTAGAACTCTAGAAATTTTTTTCTTACTTTATTTTTGGGAAGTCAAAATTGTCTTATTTGGGGGCATGTGCTAGGCAAGAAAACATGGTATTTTGCCAGGAATATGAGCTAAATCCAAAATTATGATATAAACCCTACCAATTCACTGGCTGCTTAACCACTGAAGTGCCTAATACTAACTAGGTGGCACAGATTCTAATAGGTGCATTAGAATCCAGGAGGGCTGAAAGTTCCTTCCCACCTAGTCGAGTCCATTAACTAGACCATGACTAAGGTGCTGTGGGTTTGAATACAATCCTCAGTCTGAAGAGGGAATTGCATCCAAGCTTACTACTTCTTGGGCAAGTGTGCTAACCACTCTATTATAAATAAGCTGCCACAAACACTGCCTGCTGTTTAGAAGGATGGTGATCTCTTCTCCGTTACTTCAAGGAAAAGGTAGGAAGAATGCCCAGGGAGACTTACAAGCTGCTGCCCTTGAGAAGTGCTGAATATTGCTAGTAAACTTTAAGGTGGGGAGGATTTACAGGTACTCCAGGCCTTATGCTGTTGTACTGAAAGGAGTAAAGCAGGTTAAACTCCATTACATAATAGTGGTAAGTGTGGTTCTGAATTATGTTTTAGGTGCCAGCTTTAAGCTACTCTGGGAAGTATAGCTGAGTGGTATAGTTCTGAGACAACCTTGTAATATGGGCATCTATTCTGCTTCCTGCTGGTAGAAGGCAGGAGAGATTGCTTCCCAGGTAAAAGCTTTGAAGTATTGAACCTGCAAGATGTAATCAAATGTTAGGCAATTTCAGCCACTTAAAATACAAATTAAGCCATCTCATGAAAGACTTTTTTTTTTTTTTTTTTTCCTGCTTGCCTTTGTAAAATAGGGCAAGATCTAATCACTAGCATATTTTCCCTATTTTCCAGCAACTGCAGCCCTTGTCTCTGCTGCTCTCTTATAGCATAGTGTAGGCCCTATGACTTGCACATGTGTTACGATTTTCTTGTTTGTTTGTCATGGTTGTGGTATGCAAGAAACAAATAGAAATAGAGTAGATGTTTTTGTGGACCAGTTCACAGTGGCCTGTGGATGCAGAGGATTGGACTCACTGGCTTTTCAAGGCCTATCTAATCCCATGATTCTACATCATAAAATCCTGTGACCCACCCAGATCTCTTCTAACTTATCCATTTATATTCTCACCCACAGTTGGTAGCTCATAACAATGTCCTCTATTTAATCTGTCCTGATCAAACAGGATACAAATGCTATTATTGTATTTCATATAATCTAAAATATCAGGTTAGCAAAACCTTTGTTCATAACTATTAAGAGTTAAAGCCTGAAGGTAAAAGCAGAACTTGACCACACTATAGTTTCATAGCCATTCTGCAAATGATTTCCTAGTCATTTTACTTCTAGCGTGTAGTATAAAATACTTTGCTTCTTTGGACAGGGGGCTGGACCTGACGATCTTGCCACATCCCTTCCAGCCCTAATGTCTATGAAATCTAGCATACAGCATAAAGTGTACTGCTTCGCTGGGGAATATACTATTTTCAGAAGTCTGAAGATTCATTCACCTTTCTGATTATTTTTATCATAATTTTCAAAAGAAAACTTTATCTTACTAATGCAGATGTTGTAAAAATTCCAATGTCATCAGTGTTTTCAGTTACACTGGCTTTTAAGCATGTAATTCACCAGGTCCAGCAGATGGAGCACAAGATCATGATACAAACACTTGCTGTTTCAGGACATTAACCAGAAAGAGTAACCTTCTGCAGTCTTGGCCTGTTTGGGAAGGGTGAGAGTTTTGTCTTTGAATACAAGGAATGGGATTGGGCCATAAAGCTGTCCTGATAGAGATGGAGGAGGTAGCTGTTTCAACCATTCCTCTAACAGAGGTAGAGAAGTGGTACTTATTTTCTTAGACTCAAGACGTCCCTCACTGGACTACGAGCATCCCTTGGAAAATGCTAGCTCTTAACTTTCACTCATTTCTTGACTATAGAAAACAACACAGCATGTTTTTCTGTTGCAAAGAATGCAGAAAAAACCACAACAGGTCAGACTGGTTTTGACACTATTGATTCCTATTTGAAATCTCTGGGTTTAGCTTGCGACTCATTTGTAGTTGTTTGCCTATCTAACAATGCTTAAAACTGCTTGGCACCCTGCAGTACTCTGAAAAATGATCGTATGACACCTGGTAGAGAATAGCTAAACTAAGGCCATGTAACTTATTGCACGGGCTATTGTAGGGCTTCTTAAGCACATTTCAGGGGACGTTACCTGGAGGAATTCCGAATTCTCCAGGCAGAAACATTTTGGATGAGATTGGTTCCCTGGGGAAAGTCTGGTACAGTAAAGTGTGTGTGGTGGGGGGTAGGGAGGATGTTTGCATCTTGAAAGTATTTAATATGTCTTTTGAAAAAGAAGTGTTTTTTGGAATATAGAGATAATCCTGGTCCCTGTCATGACCCAAAAGGCATGATTGTGTGTGCGCTTCGGCACCAGAATTATCCCCGCCAAGTTGCAGAGCATTGCACGGGAGAGTTTCCTGTTGCAGAGGAAAACCCCGGTGCAGGGACGAGTTTCCCGCCTTTTCTGCAGCTTCTTTTGCAGAGTGCATTGCTCATGTTGCAAGAGGAATGCACGGTGCAAAAGAGCTCCTGCCACTAGTATGCAAATTCGTTCCCCATGATTGGCTAGTGCTATTATTCACACATGGCGGCTAACGATTGGCCTGTTAGCCGTATAAAAGGCTTGAGCGGTTTCCGCCCAAGCCGAAGAGGACTCCACATCCATCTTGTGGGGACTCTGGGTACACGGCAGGGTAATGGAAACCCTGTGTGAGATCCAGAGGAGCCTGGCGGCCTGATCCACCGCCCACCTCTTCCCGTCTTTGAGCGCGACTTTTATAAGACGTGTTTACGATTTCTATTTTGGCGGCTCGTTCCCCCAGGGCATCCGGAGCTCTGCACCGTGGAGCCTAGCAACCTCCACGAGACCGTCTGTGTTGTCGGTCTGTAACCGCAACTCAATCAAGTTTTCCAGCCTACACCACTGCCATCTCGGTGTAAGTAAACAATCTTTAAAACTACCACTACGCGTTTGTGCCTAATTCCAGCTCGATGGCCTTCCCTCTCCGACCCGGTGTGCCCGGGCTGCTGGCCACAGCCCGCGTGCAGCACGGAAAAGGGCTCGGGTCGCTCCCGGCCCGCACAGTCCCCAGCTGTCAGAGGTGGTAGAGCAGGGGTTGGCAACATTTTTGGGCAAAACACCCTCTACTTCCACTTGTAAGATGTTGATATGCCACGGGTAGATGACAGAGGAGCTGCAAGGGGCTCAGTCCTTGTTGTGGCAGTAAAGCTGCAGCTCCTTCCCTGCCATCTGCCTCAAGGCACATGTACATCTGCCACCAGCAACAAACTGGGCCAGTGTGCAGCTGCTTGCAACCTCTCTGAAGGACTGTGTTGGACAAGAAGGTGAGAATATTTGTCCATGTTTTATTTCTTTACCCTGCCTCCAAACTCTATAGTTATATTTTCTTGTGTAATGCAATATGTTTTTGCTACTTTGCATCCTCACCTAATTGCCTGTAGTGAGGTGTAATTTCAGAACGACTGATAATTTGGGCTTTTCTCTTATTCAGAGGACCCATAATTTTTGGATAACTCAAGGATGCTCCCCTGTTGCAGCTGTGGAGTATGGTGTGAGGGCAGGTAGAATTAAGGTTTGTGAGGATGAAGAGTCAACCTGGGGCGAACATTAGTTTGTTCTTTGTGACAAACAGTGGAATAGCGGGAAGAAACTTGGGGCTTTGGAAGCACCCAACAACAGGATCTATGACAGATGTATCTGCACAAGTTCTTCCCTATACTGTTGACATATGAAGATTTTGCTGACATGTGTAGGGGAGAGGAACTAAGCCATGACAGAGGAAGTTACAAAACATTTTTCATAGTTACTTTGTAGTACAACATGCCAGAGGTTGTTTTAGGTCCTGTGATCAAAATGAAGTTTCCTGTTCATTCTGACCCCAATAATGGAATATTTAAAGTGTGTTTTTAATCCCAACAGCTGAAAGAAATGAGAATTGGGGACAATGTTAGTCAGCAAAATATTTAAATGCATAAATCAGTTATCTATGGTTTTATATATAGTTGGTCTTTGAAAAGTCTAAAAAAAAGAGACTTTTCTCAGGAAAAGGGCATTTATTCAATGGGAATGATTCCTCCTCTTTGAGCGTTCAGTACACTGGAGAAGACATTGAACAGATGTTCACAGCCACTGTAGTCTGTTCTTTTTCCCTTCACACTTATGCACTTTTGTAACCCATCAGGATAGTAGAATAATTGAATGCATCTTCAAGAAGCAAACACTTGATACCTCTGATCTGGCCATTTTCTCTTTATGTCTAGGCCACAACCATGAGAGGTCAGCAGTAAATTCCCAAAGCAACATTTAGCCTCTTCCATTATTCCAGATCCCTTCCTGATTCTAGGCTAGGTCACTGAAGATTGTTGGCCAACAAGCTTCTAGGTGGGAGGGGAAAGGGGGAACTATTAAGATATAGATATGCCAGAAGCACATGTATATGAGGCAATGCTGACCTTTCCATGTTTTCTGGAATGAGTCCAGAACAGTGGTCGGGAACCAATTGCCTTCCAAGACCCAACATACCGAGTCTCTTAGTGCTTGGTCTTATAATTGCTCAAACTTCTATGTACCTATCCAAGAGACACTTCATACCATACTATCTCCCAGAAAACTAGTTAACTTAGTATGAAACCAAAAACTTCTTTAGTGCTTCTAGTGGAAAGGTTTTTTGGCCTGGTCAATACCAACTCAAATTCATATGCTTGTTACCAGGACTCTGGATTGTTGCAGTTCACTCCTATGAAGAAATAATTACTGGAGAATAAGTACCTTAAATATAAGATGGCCCCCCAATAGTTTCTATATATGGAAAATGTATACATTTGTTATAATTTTCCAGGTACAAAATCTAAGTATTGGATATTTGCCTTAAATTTGTCCCTTCCCACTGCTACAGCAGGGAAAATAAATGGGGGGGGGGGGGGGGGGGGGGAGTGGAGGGGGGGGGGGGGCAGGTGGCCCCCTTACCGCCTCAACTTCTTCCTCATGCTTCCCTTTCCTTTCCTGTCTTACTGTCAGACCCTGCTTTCCCTGAGCACATGGAGAGGGGGGCAAATCTGAAAACACTGATTTTTTTGCCTGTAGTAATTTGTATATAGGCAAATTACTATGGGTACCCCTAGACTTAGTTAATCAAGAATTGAGATATTGCACTTTTTTTTAAAGCTGCTACAAGTTTTAGCACAGGTATTCCACAAACACTTAAGCAATATTTTTGTACCTACTTATTTACAGTACAAACTGTGCACCCTATCAGTCTGAAGCCAAAAGACTCGTAATTTACCATATAGTTCACTGAGCTAGGACCCAGAAGAGTCATCAGTGTTTCAAGCCATGGTGACCCTATAGCTCAACACTGCTGTGTGCGTGTGCGTGTGCGCACTCATTACCCACCACAAAGGATCTATGTGCTAATTAACCCCCTCACTCATGACTGAAGCTGGGTGTTCTTGTCATGAGTCTGGGGATCCTCCGAAAAAATTTATATTTAGAGGAGATGCAGGGCAACCTGGTCTGGCACCACCTAATCACACGAGGGGCAGGTCCACACTGATCATATGTAACAGGCTGAAGTGGGGAGGGGATGACAGAGGGATTCTGGGTGAACTAATGTGGGACCCTGTTCAGTGATATTTGCCAGACATTTAAGGCTAGTGAAGAAATAGGAATATTGGAAATAGGAAAACAAGGCACAGCTTAGCCTGAGAAATGAAGAGGAAGTTGAAATGTATTCCATGTAGCAGTTCACCATGACTTGAAAAAGAGTCAGTGCTGAGGGGAACTAAGTGCCACGGGCACTACCATATTTTTTTTATTCAGATGAGCTATGTTAATACAGCCTTGTGTTAATACAGCCTTGAAAATATCAGCATGTTTTCCCAATATGGGCTGTGTTATATAGTCATATTCAGTGTTGGGTCTATACTAATCAACTTCATAGTTGGTTTCTGTTACTGAGCACATGCTGTTTTGGGCAGGAGTTCAATAATAGACTTTTTTTTTTATATGCAAATGTAAAACAAGGAGCTTTATTCTCCATGCTGATTGACTGGGGGGGGTTACTTGTTTTATATTCAAGTAAATTTGGTAGTTCATAAAGATGTAACAGCTGGCTAACTAAACAGCAGTCCAGTTGCTAAGCAGAACAAGACAAAGGAAACCCATTACAATGGCACTCCATAGCCTTCCTTAACTTCCTATTCATTATTAGATCAATTTAGAAATTAATATCAGGGACTTTAGATGGTAATAGCAAGGATTTATAAATCCCTATTAGCAACCATTCCCTGGTGTTTCTTTCCTCTTCTCAGAACCACTATGGAAGCTGAGATGCATGTCTAAAAGACATCTGATAAAGAAATAACAAGGTGTGTCAGCTGTAGAAAGTTTTATGAAACTCTAGAATGCAAAAGATGCTGAGAATTATCCTACAACATTTGTGCACATCTTGTTAACTCTTCTTTCTCAAAGCTTTCCTTGAAGAACCAGAAGAGCACTTGATGGTTGACTCAAAAGCTAGACACCAGTTATTAAATCAAGAAGCAGGATGGAAAACTAACGGCCTGTCTTACCACCCAAAATTATCCTTATGATGACTACATAGGGTGGTGGTGTCTACTTTAAAAATACTGCATAAGACAGCATTTCAGTACTTTGATATTGAACTCTCTAACTGCAGTATTTTTTATTAGCCTTCAAAAAATGCTAGTAATTCATTTTTAGCAATCCTATGCATAAAGGAAATTGCTAGTGATGTATATAAACAATGAGAAATAATCTAGACATTACCATAGTTGCTTGGAATTAGTCCAGTCCTGCCTTTGCAGGTTCCTTTCCACCAATTTGTGTCACTCTAGAGAGAGGGGAGAGTTTTTTAGAAGTGTTATTTACATTTTAAATATAGTCAGTTTCTTTGTAACACAGCTACTCAAACCATATTATATACTCACCATGTCCGAGATGTAGATAATATCACCTTCTTCAAAATATAGTTCATCTGGCTGAAAGAGAGAGAGAGAGAGTGCCTGAATACATGCACAGAGACAAGGCAATGACAAACATTTAAAGGGCTCTACTTTTTTTTTTCCTGTTTTAACAGTGCGCTGCCCCAACAGAACTGTTTGACACTCTTGGTAAGATGAATTATAGCATGAAATGTGACAGGCAGCACTGTAAGAGCATATACGCTACAGCTATGGTAACTGGACCTTTTCCTACCATGGATTTAATACAAAAGTTTAGAGAGAAAGGAAATGCCATTCTCTCTTACAACATGCAGCTTTTCCCCAAACACTAGCTACTGGAAACTGGGATATGCTTTATATGTGAGGAAATATGATAACAGCAGTTTGTCACTTTAGCTTCTGCCAGGCAAAAGCTAAAAGTAACTGCATGAGATCCACAGGGAGCAGAACAATTTGCAGACTTGGCTGAGTAGGTGCTCTTACTCAGTGACTTACTGCAAAGGAAGATCCTTCCCCCCCACTCATTCAACCTTTCAAAAGCAAGGCATGTGTCCTATTTTGGGGTGAGTCGTATACAGGAAAATGATAAATGGGTATAACTAGCCTACTTTTTTTGTAACACAATCTCTAAGCAAACTGCGTTAGTCACTAGCACATACTAAGGAAGTATGTGTGCGCATGCTGTGTGGAAAAGGACTTGGCAAAGACACCAAGATTATGCCTCTATTGCAAAAAAGGTGTGACTGCAGCCATGGAGACTATATAAAGCTACTTAGGTATATGTACTTGGATAGCTATATTTTGTTGAAGCCCATGCTGCCATATCTTTACTGTTTTTGTTACCTGAACTGGCTAGGTTAAAGCCAGTTTGTACATGCCTGTCCATGATGCAACTGCCTCCCTTGATTGTAATGCTGATGCATCATGAGAGCTCAGCGACTTGACTTTGCGGGCAGGAAGGGGAAGAAAGCAGAAGACAAGTGGGGGAAATTTCAGTATGACATAAAGCAGTGGTGGTACTACAGTTAAGACTAATCTGCTCTGTGCAGCAGCCAACTTCTTTTTCGTTCTTGAGGGCCCTAAAATGTACTTTGCTTAGATTTTTATTGGGAATGGCTGTGTCTGAATTATCAGCTTCATACTGGATCCCCAACGTGAGGTTATTTGAGTGAGGGACTTCCCAATACACACAGAGTTAATATGAGGGTAAAAGATTTCTTAAGGTGATATCTTCTATTGGACCAACTGTGCAGTTGGGATAGAGTCTGACAAGCTTTCAAATGCAAGACGCACTTCATCAGGTCTGACCAGAGCAAGCCAGGCCAATAAAAGATATCACCCTAGGGAGTCCTTGCCTCTTGCATAATTCCTGGATCATCATGGCTATGACACCACTCTTACTCTACTTTGCAAGTTAATGGTTCTTATACCTGGGAGCAGCTCCAGAGCTCAAACTGAAGTGGCTGCAATTTCTCTTAACTGATATCTGCTGAGAATGGTCTCTGCTAGAAACTAGCATTGCCTGCCCTCTTGGAAAACAGTATTTAAATGGCCACAGGCATGGATGACAGGCTAAGCTAATGAGATACAAAGCCATTTACCCATCCATGGCAGTACTGGGGATCTGTTGCAAGTCACCTTACAGTCACCTGACACCACAGTAAATGGGGGTGGCTCAAGAAAATTATTAGAAACATCATCCATGTACTGCATTTGAATGTTGAGCATAACTTCCTGAGACAGTCTGGTGTATGTATTGGTTAATAATTTCCTGCCACTCTTAAAGAGATCTTGTAGAAGCTCTGCCTTGAAA